CTCCAGCTTCATTTCATTAGCACTGTCCTGCCTTCATTAGTGAATTAATTCCCCAGGAATTGCACAGCAAAATAAACTCAACCAGAGCAAGAACATGCAAAGATGAATCTTAGGGCTGGCTGGACAACTGCAAGTATTTTCTGGGCAAAAAAGGATTTTCAAAGAAATACTAAAAAACAAACACATTTTATTCAAACCAGACCTGGAATCCTTGAAGCTTTTCCAACCAAACCAAAATGAGATGTTTTGTTGAGTGTTTGGTTTGGATTAACCTATGGGTTGGAGATCTAGGAAATGAGCCCTCTCTCTCTTGAGGGACAGACTCCAAGGCAAAAATCAAATCAATAGAAATGCAATGAATATCCCACTCTCCATTTATTTTCAGACGTGTCCTGATACGTTAGATGGCCATGGGGACTTTGCCCATCCAGTACCAGACACTTAAAGAGCAGATCCTGGGCTGAGATGTGGTCCCTTGGCTGCAGCAGAGAGGAGTGCAGAGGTCTGGCCACACCAAGATGTGGCAGAAGTAGTTGAATCTGTTTGGGGAATGACAAGCAAAGGAAAAGGAGGGCGAAACAGTGACCTCAGGGTGAGGACCCAGGGAACATTTCATGATCTCCTGGACAAAAGGGACCTCAGCGACTCCATCCTCAACCCAAGAAACTTTGAATGTACTCAGCACTGGTGAGGCCGCACCTGGAGTACTGTGTTCAGTTCTGGGCCCCTCACTAGAAGAAGGATGTGGAGATTCTGGAGCGTGTTCAGAGAAGAGCCACAAGGATGGGGAGGGCTCTGGAGAACAAGCCTGATGAGGAGCGGCTGAGGGAACTGGGCTTGTTCAGCCTGGAGAAGAGAAGGCTGAGGGGAGACCTCATCACCACCTACAACTGCCTCAAGGGAGCTTGTGGAGAGGTGGGTGCTGGGCTCTTCTCCCAGGTGATGGGGGATAGAACAAGGGGAAACAGCACCAAGCTGTGCCAAGGGAGGTTCAGGTCAGAGATAAGGAGGAAGTTCTTTCCTGAGAGGGTCGTCAGAAGCTGGACCAGGCTGCCCAGGGAGGTGGTGGAGTCACCATCCCTGGATGTGTTTAAAGAGCAGGTAGACGAGGTACTTAAGGATATGGTTTAGGGGGTAGACAGGAGCGGTTGGACGTGATGATCTCAGAGGGCTTTTCCAACCGAGAGATTCTGTGATTCTGTGACTGCAACATCTCCTGGAATATCACACCCCGAAGCAGCTTCTTTCCCTGAAGGACCCTGCTCCACGTCTCCCCGTTATCTCTGTGCCCCCCTTGGGGACAATTTGTCTACCTCCATCCATCGATACTTGCATTTCCTCTGGGGATGCAAACGGCACTCTATCAATAATTGATATTTTGCCTCTTTGCATTATTTTCCAAACCCTCAAAGACATTTTTGTTCCACACCAAACCAAAACTCCTACTCATCCCACTTCACCAGGATACCAGTGAGGCTCTGCTCCCTCCAGGCTCCTTTCTCCTGGCCTTGGCAGGGCTTCCAGGAGGACTTGGGGCGATGCCCATCTCTGTGGGGAAGGGATGGTGCAAAAACCACCAGTGAGGCAGAGCAGGAGGAAAATCTAGCAATTATGGTCAGGCTCAAAACCCCACGGACAAAGGAAACAAACCCAAATTATGTGATGATGGTGGTGGCTATTATCATGGATGTTTTAGTCGCAGCTGTTAATAAAAATAATAGTGGTAATAAAATTACGATGATGCTAGCAATTGTTCCGATGCTGATGATAATAATAAGATTATTTATTAATTGTAAGCCATTATCAGCCTTTTCTAGTGCTTATGCCTCCCGGACCCATCCCAAACTCCAGCTCTATCATATTACTGCAAAATGAGGTAAATGAGAAAGGCTTTTTCTTTACAGCAAGGCAGGAATATGGGAACGGCAAAACCTGTCCCTGACACCTTCCCCACTAATTTCTCCTCATCAAACGTCCTTTGTCATGAGGTTGAGCATTAGGTGGGATCTTGCCTTTCTCTCCTTTATTTAGGGTTTTCAGCCTTCAAAGCAGCTGAACCCCAGCAGAGGTGCATGGCCAGACCTTGTGGGTGGATGGAGTAGGAACTCAAAGCCATTTTCTGGCCCTTGTCCTCCACATAGGGCTGATGGGGGGCAGTGGGCACCTGTGAGCCCCAGGACCACACATCCCTGCGGGTGCTGCAGCTGCCTCTGCCCTTGCCTTATTGCTTGGAGGAGAAAAGGGAACAAAAGCCCCAGCTCCTAGTGTTGCTGATTTCTATATATTTTTTGGGTTCAGTCATGGTTCCTGTGACCGTGGTGCACACGTGCAGGGGGATGTGTAGACACACTTTGCTTGCAGCTGCCAGCTGCTTCTGCAGTGCCACACTTAAACCTCATGGTGCAAAGTGAAGCGAGGAGTAGGGAAAATCACGTCCTGGTGTTTGAACCATTGTGTGTGTCAGGCCAGGGATGTGCAGTGAGGTGGCAGAGATGGATGTGGACCATTGCAGAGAGACAGATGTGCAGCAAGGAGGAGGGATGGATGTGCAGCGAGATGGGGGCATCCATGTGAGGCAAAGAGAGATGGATGTGCAGCGAAGAAATAGATGTGCATTGACAAGGGATGGATGCATATTAAAAAGGGGTGGACGTTCAGTGAGGAGGATGGATGTGCAGCAAGGAGGGATGGATGCACAGTGAGGAGGATGGATGTGCAGTGAGGAGGGATAAATGAAGAGCAAGGAGGATGGATGTGCAGCAAGGAAGGATGGATATGCAGCGAGGAGGGATTGTTGTTCAGTAAGAAGGGAGGATGTGCAGTGAGGAGGGATAGGGATGGATGTGCACTGAGGAGAATAGTTATGCAGTGCAGAGGGTGGATGTGCAGTGAGGATGTAGGAGGGATGTGCACTGAAGCCGGGAGGTGGATGAGCAGCCAGCAGCGTGTGGAGCAGTTGCTCTTTTATGTGCATGTTGTACACTGAGGACAGTGCAGGCTTGCCTGCACCCAGGGACCTGAGGTCTGTGTGACCTCCACAGCTGTCCTGATAGCCATCTTCACAACACACAATGTTCTCGAGCCATGGGGGGCCAGGACTGTCAGAGCTAGGCCCCCTGCAGCCGTTCCCCATCCCCTCTGCCTTGACTGCAGGAGTGAACACCATGCCCTCTGATCCAGCCCTGATTCATGGTTTAAGAGCCAGGGACCGTGGTGGCACCGCTGCTGCTCAGCATCGTCATCTCTGGCAATCGCTGTTGCACAGCTCTGCAGGGCGGGGAGCACCCAGGACTGCAGTGCATTCACCAAAATCAGTAGAAGCCCCTAAAAACTCCTGGGAGGGGGGGATGGGACACAGCCATGGCTTGCAGGGGTTGCAAAAAGGGAAGAAGCTATGGCAGGGGTGGCAGTGCTGTTATTTCCAGTGTCCCCCCCTTCTCAAGCCTGGGGAGGTGGCAGTGGGGTGTCACACTGGAAGGGCACATCAGCTCTCCCTAAGGGCCTAACTGGTGACGTGGGGTGCATGGGCCAGCACACAGCCCCACGGGATACTCTGGTATCCTCCGGCCACCTCCTACTTCTATGGCCCCTTCAGCATTTCTCTGCCCTTGTCCCACCGCGCTGGTGCTCTCCCACCACCCCTCACCCTCCCCATGCCCCGACTCTCCCTGCCCTGTGTCTTTCTCAGGGTCTCCTGCCCTCTCTCCTCCCTACAAGGAATAAATCACCCTCCAGCTCCAGCCTGGAAACAGCAGCCCCCACTGCCACCTCCTTCCCATGGGACCTGGCTGCCTCCAGGATGCTGGGAACCTTTTCCCAGACCAGGAAGGGTTCATTTGGGAAAGCTGTCAGGGACTGATGGCTCTGGACTCTCTGAACTCCTGGAGATCAACATCCCCCCTCTCCACCCCATGCCCCTCCATGCTCCCTACTTTGACAGGGCAGAGCGTGGGTTTGGGTCCTTGACTGGTACATTAAAAAACCCCACAAATGCCACATTTTTTTCAGCACAGGTAAGGTCTACAGATGTGCAGCAGGGAGCTCTGAGCACCAGGATGGAGTTCCAGGTTTGCCAACCACCTCCACAAGGTCCCCATGGCCGAGTTAACATCAGCTTCACTGAAAAACCCAGCAAACAGCCTGAAAAATGCTCTTTGTTCAATCCCCTCTGGTGGAAAGCAATAACACTTGGGCTGCGGATCTTCTCAGCCTCCAAGGAGAAGCTTTACTTTGAGGGCCAGGGGAGGAAAAATCAATCTAGCAGGCTCCAATTCTTGCTTGGAGAGCTCTGGAGAGATGAGCCCAACCCCAGTGTGGTCCCTGGTGGCACCAGGGAAGAAGCAGAGCCCAACCAGAGCTTGTTTCTCCTGCTCCCACATCCCTTGGCACCGGCCCATTAGGAAAGAGGGTTTTGTCAATTGGCCCAGCACATTAGGAAATGAAGCAAGCTGTGCCTAGGAGCTTCCCCAGGGGTCCATTAGCATCGGCGGATCCTTTCTCCGGCCCAGCAGGTCCCAGAGGATGCTTTTGCGGGCGATTTCCTCCCCCAGTGCGGGGGAAATTGTCTGGGATGAGGTGCTGGCAAGGCTGGCGCTGGTGGGAGGAAAGGCTGAGGATGTTGTGTGCTCAGATGTGAGGTGGGCTGCCAGAGCAACGTGAAACCCTCCTAGATACAAGCGTTGAAAACACAGGTAGGCTCCAGGTTGCTAAAGCATGTCCTGACTTGGAATCAACCCCCAGAGCTCCAGGATCATGTCTGAGGTCCCTGACCATCCCTGGGGCTGGGAGTGGTGGTAGGAGACAACGTGAGGTTCCAGAGAAACCAGTCCATTAACACATCTATCAGGACAAGCTGTTACTGATGGCCAAGGAAGGGGGTGAGGAGCATCAATGCCATCTCAGCATGGGCACTGCCACCCTATGTGGAGCAAGTCTTAACCTCCAGGCCAAGCATCTCACTTGTGTTTAATCCTTTCCTGCCGTTGTTGTCTCTTCCACAGGTATAAGAGCATGGTGACAACCCGGCGGGCAGCAGTGGCCATAGCTTGCTGTTGGATCATCTCCTTTCTGGTGGGACTCACCCCTATGTTTGGCTGGAACAACCTGAACAAGATGCGGAGGACTCAGGAGCTGAATGCCAGCCACACGGAGTTTGTCATCAAGTGCCAGTTCGAGACGGTCATCAGCATGGAGTACATGGTGTACTTCAACTTCTTCGTCTGGGTCCTGCCTCCCCTGCTGCTGATGCTGCTCATCTACCTGGAAGTCTTCAACCTCATCCGCAAGCAACTCAACAAGAAGGTCTCCTCCAGCTCCAACGACCCCCAGAAGTATTATGGGAAGGAGCTGAAGATCGCCAAGTCGTTAGCACTGGTCCTCTTCCTCTTCGCGCTCAGCTGGCTCCCTCTGCACGTCCTCAACTGCATCACCTTGTTCTGCCCGTCCTGCGAGACGCCGCACATCCTGACCTACATTGCCATCTTCCTCACCCACGGCAACTCAGCCATGAACCCCATCGTCTACGCTTTCAGGATCAAGAAGTTCCGGACAGCTTTCCTGCAGATCTGGAACCAGTACTTCTGCTGCAAAACCAATAAAAACGCCAGCACCACCACAGTTGAGATGGGCAATTAGGAACTGGGAGAGAGCAGAGAGGGGTCCTCATGTCCAGCCTGGTCCCCATCTGGTGGCCGTTCCTGCTGTCAGGGGAAGGGATGGTGAAGACCCGGGAGGTTTGGATTCGCCAGCCCCATGCAATCCAAACAGCCGTGTCCTCCAGCCGCCCCGGGGGGTTATTTATTCACAAGCATCGTACTGTTTTGATATGGTAGCCTGCACTGTTCCTTTCTTTTTTTCTGTTTGTTTTTGTTTGGGTTTTTTTTTAAAGGATTGCCAAGTATTTAAGGAGAAATTGTACAGACAAAGACACAGTTTATCTTCATGCAAATAAAGTAAAATAATGAAAAAGCACCCAGGAGGTCCTCTGCTGTTGATAGAGACCTCTGGCTCCTTGGAGCGTGGCAGTCAGTCTTGCTGGGGGCACCACATGCTCTGGCTCCTGCATCCATGGACCCCATGCCCTGGTGGGAGTGAAGCTGCTGAGAACCAGGGAAGCCCAGGGCGCTGTGATTCCTGCAGCTTTGAAGCTGGGAGTTTTCAAGCCCATTCTTTCGCCTCCATAACCAGGGAGAGGTGAGCTGAGATGGGACATGGGAAGAGATAGGAAAAGGCATCTCATGGCAGTGCCAGCACCCAGAGGGTGATGACGCCACCGTCCCCATGAAGCAAAGGGTCAATCTCAACTCCCAACACCACCAAAGAGGGGAAACACATACGCATAAGCCCAGAGTACACTGCAGAGTACTCTTTGCTGTCCTGGTGTCTCCTCATGGACCCCAACAGCACCCCCCATCCTCCCTAGCTGCACCCACGGAGGGTGATCCCCTCCATGTGTCTTCACTCTCCTTTTACTTTGGCCCTGAGTAGTTTTCCTCTCTTCTCTCCTCCCCTGTCTTCTGTGCAAGGCAGAAGGGGTCTCTCCCAGCCCCTTTTTGTCTCATGTCTCTCATGTTGCTCCCTATGACCCCTCCCTGTGCAGCCAAACCCTTTGGACCCAAACTTTGTGTTATGCAGCCACCTCCATGGCCCAGGAGAGCAGAAAGGCATTCACACTTATTTGGAGACAAGAGGGGATGGCTGCAGGCCACCATATCCACATTGATTCTGCCACAGGTTTATCCATGGACAGGGTGTATTGTTGGTCACAATTGAGGAGAGGGTGCCTGGAGATGGGCCATCACCCCCACCCAACTCTGTGGTTCCTATGGATGGACACTGCCAGTCCCAGCTCTGCAGCAGAAATTTCCAGGGCTGAGGTGGTGGTGGTAAGAGTTAATCTGAGTCAATTTGGGTTCTTTTCTTATCAGCATCCCTTGCTCACCAATCTCTAATTGGAATCACACTTCTTATGACCCTTCCCTGCCCTGTCAGAGTCGTGCCCCTCAGAGTCACTGTCGGGCAAAGAGACTGCAGTAAGGTCCCGCAGGGGCTGGGAGGGGGTGCAGGAAGGAAAAGGACCTTGGGTGGGTGATATTTATGGGTGGCTCTGTAGCTGGCTCTGGAGAGCAATGCTGTGTGCACGTAGCATGGGCAATGGGGCTGCTAGGTGTCCCCTCTGCTGCCACCAGCTCTGTTTAGCCTGGAAGGAGCTTCTCCACTTCTCTTGAGAGGAAGAGGAGGGCAAAGAAAGGTAGGGAGAAGAATGAGAGAAGGTGAGGGGCTCAGCCTCCCACATTTTTAAAGGGCCCAGATATGTCATATTCAGGCTCCTGACTCAGACTACACTGGGCAAAACAGGAATGGAGCAGAAGAGCAAAGGCAAGGACAGGAGCGAAACCTTCCCTTGGGTCTCTTCTCAATGGAGGGGCCCTGAACACCCTCCCAGCTCCTCCAGGTAAAGAACCGAAAATCCCATATCAGTAGTGCCTGAGGATGCTGCACCCCCAGGCTGGTGCAGAGAGGACACCTCCTGCCCCTTGGCCCTGGTGCTTTTGTGCTGCAGTAGCTTGGCTTTGGGTAAGGGCTGATGTGTACTGAGCACAGCTCTGATTCCCACTTGCATCTCATTTCTGTGAGACATTGCTTTCCTGGAACTGATGCCTTTGCTGATTCTTGCTGAGGTGACCAGAAACGTGATGACAGGGATGCTCTTAAATCAAAAGGCATGTGGATGCTTGTTTTCAGAAAAAACATAGTGGATTTTTCCACTCCATGGCCTCCAGACCTTTCCTAGGGAGTGCTCACTAAAAGTGGATGCTGTTACCTTCCCTGGTCCCCTGTGGGGTTACAAACACAGTCTTTGCCCTGTAAGACTGCATTAAGAGCCTGAAAAGGGCACAGTGTTCAGCACAACACAGTCTTGGAGATGCTGCTCCTCCCCTGTGTTAGCAAACCCCCGGCTAACACAGCCCGCTCCCAGTCCCTGTTCCCCAAGGCTCCCACTGGCCAAAGCCACATGCCAAGATGCCAGGGACATCAAGGAGGCCAGGACATCCCCATCAGTGTTCAAGGCCAGGAGTGAGCATCCTGGAGGAAGCTCTGCTGGACTGCAACCTCCACCCTGGTGGCATCATGGCTAACCCCAACCACCTCAATAAACCAGCCTGACTTTCAGCTGGAATAAAAACCAGTCTGATGATGCCCTCTGATGGCAGATGTGATGTCTGATGTGGACGGTGCTGAGCCCCTGGGAACAGCAATACCCCCCTGGGCTTCAGCTTGGGCATGGCGAGCAGATGGGGACAAAGTGAAGAGGCTGCAGGAGGGATGCTGCAGGAGAGAGGTCAGCTATTTTAGCCATAGGCACTGCTTGGCTTTGCTCTCCAGTGGCACCAAGGACCAGGGAGGGATCAGATGTGTGGGTGTCCGGGCTGGATTTGCAGTGCCAGGACAGTGCCTTGCTGTGGGCAAGATCTGGGTCTGTGCCCATGACCGAGCTGGCAGGCAGCTGGGTCAGCTCCTGCCCTCACCCATGTGCCTCATCAGCCCAAGGGAGGCTGTGCTGGCGGAGGAGGCTCACCGCGCCGCTGACCCCTGGTTAATGATGCGCTTGGTCAAATTGATGGATCTGTCTGGGCGCTCTGTTAATAAACAGTCTCTGACCCGAGCTGTCTCAGAGCTATAAGTAACGAGTCATCTTTCTACACATGAGCTATCAGCACCTAACGGGGTCGATTCCTCCTCCTCTGTATAATGCATTGGCATGTCCTGCCCCTGCAGTCTCACACCATGGGGAGAGGATGCTGATGGCAGTACATGGCTAGATCGTTGCATCACTGGCATGGATAAAGAAATAGTGCTTTGATGAAGAAGCATCAGCACGCCACTGTTTTGGTGTTGCTATTTCACCCTCCCTGCCAGAATCATTCTCCAGCTCCAGAAGAAAACTTCTCCCCATCCTTCTCCTCCTTGTTGGGCTGCTTCTGGTTTAGTCATCTTCATATATGTTTTATAAAGCTGGTCTTTTCTTTCCAGGCTCAAAAATCACTCTTCCACCCATGGTTAGGTGGGATGCTACATGAACCATTAGCATCCTTGGCAGCTCTCTCCCCACTACCTCCTCCTGCCCAAGCCAACCCCACAACAAGTAGAACATAGCAGGGTTTTTATGAGGACCCAAGATGGGCTTGTTTTATTGTCACGCCTAAGGACACATTCAGAGAGGACCATGCCATGGCCGGGCTGATGCACAGGACCCTGGGGGCACCGCTGGGGAGGAGGGCAGGCCCACAGGCAGCAGAGGTCATAGCCAGGAGCATCACCATGTGCCATGCTACTGGACAGCAGCTGTAGCATCCACCTGGGGTAGAGGAACAAGATCTGAGTCTTGTGAAGGCACCACCGCTGAGAGACCAGTGGTCAGGGATGAGATGGGAAACCACATCCCAGCCATGACTGTAATGCAAGACAAAGCCAGTCCAGCTTTTCCATCCTCTTCTGTCCCACAAAACCCAGGTGCAACCCCTCAACTTTGCTTTTCCACCCCCAGCCCCATTTCATACCCCCTTATACCTGCCCCCAGTCCCAGTACCTGCTTCCCATGCTCATCCCACCTCTGGTGCCCCGCATCTCTGACCCCTGTCTGCAAACTGGGGCTCTGCCTGCTGCTGCTCGTGTAGCTGACATGCACATCAGTCCACCAGCTGCATCAGCTTCTCCCTGGCCATATTTGCAATCCTCTCTTCACCTTGCATAGGACCAGGTTTCCCTCAGGCCCTGCAGCATCCGATCCCACCAGCACATCTCCAGATGTGGGACGAGGTAGCCCCAAAAGGGGGCTCCATCAGCAGGTGACAAGGGCCAATCCAGGACACTGAAACCACCCCATCCCAGATGAAGTGACCCACCTTCCCTTCATTCCACAGCCCCAACCCAGACCTACCTTGCTCTTTGTCTTGCCCTCTGATTTGTCCTCACTTGGGCACTGCAGGAAAGCACAGGAGATATAAACATCCCAAACTCACCTCACCCCTTTTGCCTTCTAAAAGTGAGCCAGGGCCCGACCACCACACTTGTGTGTGCACCCCAACATGGACCTACGCACACCATCCCTGTGCACACGTGCTCCGATCAACTGTGCCCATCATCATCTGCTCCTGGCCCACTTGTCCCCAGAATCCCAGACTGGATGACTCCCCAGCACCACAACAAGCTCAGTCTCCTGGCTGACTTCACCGAGCTGCCTGCATGGCTGCACTGACAGCCCTGTCCACAGGGCAATGTGGCCAGGGCCAGATGGGTCAGCGCTCACTGCACCGGCTGGAAGCCCTGGCACCAGTGGCTGCAGAGCCAAGAGCCGACCCCATGTCACACCAGCAGCCCTGTTGCTTCAGCAGGGACCAAGGGTGCTGGGCGTCTGCTGGACTGGAGCCTTGCCTGCGTGGGAAGTAGGGCAGAGCGTATCTCGGGGCAAGCATGTGCTGGGAAGGCACAGGAGGAGAAATAATAAAAGCAACACGTGTCTAAGGACACACCACTGCTTGAGGAACACGCGTACAGAGTGGGTGGGTGGGCACGCATCCTCTTACATGCCGAGGCGGGTCTGCAGCACGCAGGAGAGGCACCCGCGGGGAGCAGAGTGGGGCACCTCCATACAGGGCTGGGCTGGGTGCTCTGCTGAGGCAGGGAAATGTGAGCTGGGAAGTCTGGGCAGGATCCTGAGACATAAATCAGAATAACCCAAGTGCAAGTGGAGGGGGTTCGGCACAGCCCCACTATACATGGCTTGCGGATGGCTTGGGGGAAAAGTGCTGGTGGACGCAGTGAGGAGGAAGTGACCGTCCCAGCCTTGACCAGCATCTCTGGTCCTTCGGCTCTGCAGTTACTGGTTTTCTCCCTAATTTTCAGCCATGGATGAGAGAAGATGATTTCAAGATGCTTTAAGACCATAAAACCAAGAAGTCTGAAGCTGCAGCTCCACAGGGCTGCTCAGTGTCCTTAGGCTCCTCCATCACCAGGATCAACACAGAACAGGGACAAACCATATCACAGTGAAAGTGAGATCAGGAAAGTGCAGACAAGGAGATCTGCTCCTCTATCTTCTTAGTCAATCTTACCTTTCACATCCAGTTTGCAGTCTACTGAGGCTTCTCCCAATGGGTTCACAGCTTTGCAGGTGTAGATGCCGCCATCGAAAGGGCTGGGTTTGCGAATTTCCAGGGAGCAAACACCCTGCTCGATCATTGCTATGTATTTGGGGTCTTCCCGTATCTCCATCTGATTTTTCATCCAGATGATTTTGGGCTGGAAGGCAGCAAGATTTATTTATTTAAATAAATAAAGGGAGAGAAATTAGAAATTTAACTGGCCCCAAAATCGCAGAATCATAGAATGTATTGGGTTGGAAGAGACCTCTAAAGATCATCTCGTCCAACCCCATGGCAGAGGTTGATGCTGTCCCCACTGACCTGGGGGAAGCCCCGGACGGAGCAGAAGAGATGCGTGCTGTAGCCTCTAGTGGTGGTCCGGTCTGTGAGGGGCTGGGTGAACTTGGGAGGCTCCATCATGTCCCGTTGGGGGATCTTCTCTGGCTGGTAAACACTTTCTAAGGAAAGAATCAATTCTAGGTTGAGGCAGAGCTCAAGCTCCTGGGCTGACCAGCATATGGTTACAGGAACTCAGCCCAAGGTACCCCAAAATACTTCTGCTCTTTCACAAAATCAGCTAGGCAGCATCTAGCCTGACTTGAGGACCTGGCCTTCAGCTCAGATCTGTCTATAAGTATATATATTTATAGCCCCTATATATAAATCTATACATACATATAGTCTATAGCCCTGTCTGTAAATCCCTTCACATCCAACCATGCCACCTTAGTGCCCAGTCCCTTTGGGATACAGGGGAGATGCCAGTCTGCAAGCCAACACCGTGACACATGCTCTGTGAAGTGTGTCAGATCCAAGCCAGGCACCTCTCTGGATTTCCTACACCATCCCCAAAACTCAGTGCACAGAAACAGGAACTGGAGGTAATTTCTGCAGGTGGCAGAGACCCCAGCTCACTGCATGATACGAGGGAGCAGGATGGAAACAAGTGGAGGGAGAGTGGGGTTGCGGGATCCTGGATTAGAGATTTGGCCCTGAGATGGTCCGCTGCAGGGGGCTCTTCCTCTGCTTGCCCTGAGCTGTGAGGCCAAAGCCAGAGCTGTTCCTCGCCGTCCCAGCTCTTGCTCTGATCTCACTCCAGGGATGTTCATGCTGTGATCCCTCCCAAGCCTTCCCCAAAGGAGAAAGGAGGTGTAGAAGAAGGGCGGAGGATCTCTGGACCTCTGCTTTGGGAATGCACAGACTCCCTCCTGCAGGGCTCATCCTGGGGACCAGCCCTGCAGCATCACCATGACACTGAGGAAGCCCCACTCTTCCCAAGAAGGACAAGACCCCTTTTACCTCCCACCATCCCCCCTTAGCCTTGTCCCTACTTGTCTTCTCGATGTGGGCCACCCCGGAGGCGATGGCTGCTTTCTCGCTCAGCCCACAGGCATTTTCAGAGAACACCCGGAAGGAGTAGGTATTGCCAATGATGAGGTCGGAGACAGTGCAGCTGGTGCGGGTGCAGCGCTCCAGCACTGTGAACCATTTCTAGGAGGAAAAAAGAGAGTGGTGAGAACAGACAGGCTGTCCAAAGTGTGGTGAAGGTGTGGGGGAGACAGAGTGTGGGGCTCCCTCTCTCCCAGCAGGGCATCCCCAGCACCAGGACACAGAAGGCCCAGGAGTGTCCAGACTCACCCCACTCTTCTTGTCTGACTTCTGCACTATGTAGCCCTTGATTTCGGAGTTCCCGTTGTCCGCTGGCGGGGTCCACTCCAGGGCCACATTGAAACCCCACACATCCACCAGCTTCAGGTTCTCAGGAGCGGCTGGCGGCTCTGCAAATGCAAACCCTTGCAGGGTGGCATCCTAATTTGTTCCCCCTAAATTCTGTACATTGACAATCCCTTGCATTTCACTTCTAATCTCTTCTCACCCATTGCAGCACATGAGAATGAGAACCTGTGATGGGCATGGCCTGGTAGAAACCCTGCATCCCCAAACAGAGGACTTTACCTCCATGATCCTTCACACACTGGAAGAGGAACCCTAGAGTCTCTTGCTTTGCTGCTTGCCCTGTCCCATCCCACCCAGAATAGGAGACATCTCCAACCAAGGACCAGAAACGAGCCCCAGAGCGATCCTGCAGGGTCCCATCCCCAGTCTTACCAATCACTTGGATGTCCAGAATAGCCTTGTCCTCCGCTCCGTTTATCTTCACGGTGAGCTCGTACTTGCCCGAATCACTGCGCTGCGCCTCGCGGATGTAGAAGATGGTGTCATTCTCTGTGTTGCGGATGTTAACGCGGCTGGTGTCCAGGGGCTGGCCAGCCTTGGTCCAGGTCACCTTGGGCGGTGGCTTTCCCTGGAGCAACCCACACAGGCAGGTTAAGACCCACTAGAGTACACAGTCCCAGCGGGCCCTGCTGGAAAGGACAGGTGGGTAGAGCCACCCCACTCTGTCCAGGCTGCAGTGGCCTGGATACAACCTCTCTCACCCAGCAGTCCCCAGGGGCGAAATTACAGCTGATCCCTGCCAGCCTCAATGATGGGGAGTTATGAGGCTCCAGAGGTGACACGGGAACCTGATCCTTCAGGTCCTCATGGAGCAAGCCCAGCTTTACTTGCCCAAGGCTTTGCAGGCAGAGCTGTGGTTCTGTTGCCTGGGCACTGAGCCCAGGTTCAACCCTAGGAGCAGGGGCTTGAATCCAGCATCCAGGGCCAATGCATGCCTGGAGCATGGCCAGTGCAGGCTCTGAATTGCTTGTGAGACATGGCGTGGACATGTCCACCATTGCAGGAGCAGCTTTCTGCCTCTCACTTCCCTGTACTTGGCCAGCACGTTTCAGGGCTGGTTTTCTCCATCCCAGATGCTGTGGTGGAGATGCTTTGGTGATGCCCTAGACAGGATGTGATAGATCAATTGAGGACAGGAGCTCCAGCTTGTCCCACTTGTGCCAGCATCCCCCCATCACAAAGCCCTGGGGCTGCCCTGCTCCAAAGGCACCTGCTCTCCTCAAGGGGACCCCACTGTTGTGCTGTGGGATCCTGTGCTATGTGGCCACATCCTGGCTTGGCCAGGAGCATGAGCTGAACGGGGCTTATGGACTGAGACAGCTGCAATAGCTAGCCCTTGCCCCAGTGTGTTTGAGGTTGTCCCATAGCCAGTAGCATCCATAAAGACATAGCAGGAATAAAAATGGGAGCTAGGTAGGAATGGAAGAAGGGTTTCCACACAATCTCCCACCATCAGCCCATGAGATATGGGGATTAGGACAAGTTAGCCCATGGTTGGCCCCAGACATGCCATGGTGGCTACATTAGTCACCTCAGAAGCTAACCTGTAGTGAAAATGCCTGGAGGATTAAATCCCAAATTATTCACCTACCTGAAAAGGGATCATCACATTCACAGCATCCCCAACATGCCTGATGTAAGTCTGTCGCAGGTGACGAGGCATGCGGATCTTCGGGAGCTCTGGCGACCAGAAATTCATGGTGTGAGGCCAAGGACATCACATTCTCCAACTGGCTGACCCAACCCACACATGCTCCTGCTTGGCCATCAAGAAATCCCACCCAGAAACAGGGCCACTGCTTCTCTCTCATCTCCTGGATAGTGCTTTCTTCCCTGCAGGGCCATGTCAGCCTACCCCAGTACCTGCACTCCAAAATTATATCCATCCTTGAGATACCAGGTCACCAACCCAATGGCACCACCCAGATGGACCATTCACCCTCTTCATTATAGCCAGGCCATGGAGGCCAACATGGGCTTAAGCAGAAGAGCCACAACACAGCCTACTCTGTAGCAAGGTAGAGGACAACATCTCCCAGTGAGGAAATATTTCTGCCCCAGCTCAGAAACCAGACTTTCCAGAGGCACACAACCCAACTCACAGCAAGGACACGGGTCACCAGGCGTCCACCTTCGCTGTGCGCTCAAGGCCATTGAGGCACCAAGGTGGTGCATGGTTACTCACAGCAGAGCTGTGAAGGCCTCAGGCTTAAACCGAAGGCTAACGTCCCCAAGGGAACATAACAAAGATAAGCAAAAGAACCACTGGAGAATGCTGATGGAGCGTGTGTCTCCTTCCCAGGGTGAAAATAGCAGCCGTGTAACCCTACCGGCTCAGTGCCGCTTTGCAATCCTTCTGGAGAGGCACTGGGTTTACGTGAGCCCCCCATAAAAGAGCTGTGTGTCTCTGCCTGGATTAAACGTGCTGGAGCTGAGTTCTGGGGAGGGGGCATGGCCAGAATTAAACCAGGACCGAGCGATGCCTAAACAGCTGTGAGCATGAAACGCCGGTGCTGGGCTGGGAGGGCAGGGAGATGCCCAGCGGTCTCAGATGGCCCCACAGACAGCTGAGGCAGTCCCTGCTCCGCTCCTGCTGCTCCTCACTCCGGGGATCCATGCATCGATGCTGCCACTTGGGCTTATCAGTCTCAGCAGGGCAGAGAAACCTGACCTCCACGGAGGAATGTTAATTCACGGGTGTTTTCCCCAGCTCATGCGTGCCTTGTTCAGCCAGGGAGGGCTGGCTGAGGGTCGTGGCCCAGGTGACGCCCTGCCACGGGCAGAAAGGCATTTTTCCCTGCAAAATGTGACTCCCACACTGAATCTTCATCTGGTTTCTCCTCGTCTCTCTCCACTTCCCAAACCCACTCGTCCCACCTGTTTTTAAATTCTCTGCCATCTGTATTGCTGCTATTTAAAATCCCTCGTGATGCTATAAATGAGAGGTACAAGATTGAGTCCCAGATAAAATGTGATGACCAAGAGGTAATGGATAGAGCAGAAAGAAGTGGACTCGTGCACCCAACATACACCAACATCACTGGGGTGGACATGTGGAGGCAGAGGGACATTGAGGGCTTATTTGTTCCTCAGCACAGCCAGGCTGTATTGGGCTGTATTGCAAACTAAATGAAGAGTTTTTCAGTTAGCAAAAAAAGGAAAAAAACGAGAAGGAAAAAAACCCACTAGCATGGAGCAAGACAAGTTGTGCATTGGTCTTGCGGCTTTTCGGGTTTTCCACCTCTCAACCAGTACACATGGCAGAGACAAAGCTCAGGCAGCAGGGACAGGGGTTTGAGCTGGTGGATGCAGCACAGGACTAGAGATGGGAACCATGATCTGTGTATTTGGTGTTTCATGCCAGTCCCCTGTGCCTCAGTTTCCCCAGTTCCACGAGGTATGGTGGGATGCCTTTGAGATCTGGAGCTCAACACTGCAGCAGACACCAACCACTAAGCCATGATCACCTCCTCTGAGCAGACTGAGAGGACGGACCCTGCAGGATCCTTTCCAGATGCCAGTAGCCTTCTGCAAGCCTTTTCCTATGAAAAGCTGATGATTCCTGGAATAACTTTTGTTATTATTACTACTATTTTTAAGCAGCTGATAAATCTGACTTGCTTTTTGTGTAACAGGAAAACTTTTGCATTAATAATTCCTTGTAAAGGGGAAAATAAGTTTGTATTTGCTGTCTGATAAGCAGAAAACAGCCTTGCAATCGTACATCAGCCTCAGCGCATTCGCAGCACCCCAGAAGGAATGTGAGTCTTGCTAAGCATGGGAGCAAAAGCCCTTCATTAGCGAGTTCAGCATGATTAAAGTTCCCATGCTCCAGGCTACCAGCTCTTGACTTTCCTCAGCTAAATAAACAAAGCTGTCCGATGTGTATGTGATGGCACATCAGAGATGTAAACACGGCCAAGGAGAGGAGACGTGCTGAAAGTGAGACTGTTCCTGAGCTCTTGCAAAGAAGAGGGAAAACATGGCTCTGCATTTTGAGTCTTTCACCCCCAAAGCCTCACCATCTGCAAGATCAGTGTCTTGAGGCTGGGAAGCTCCTCCATCCCACACCAAGGGAATGGGACACAGTTATTGAGAATAACATCTCAGTCAAAGGCTGGATTGCAACATGTGAGAGGGCAGAGGCTGCGGGGATGGGCTGGGATTTCTTTGTTATGCTGACAAAGCACCCAGGAATTACGCCTGGCAGGAGCTGTACTTACGGAGGATCTCTCTGATGAGGACGGGCTGCTCCAATGTGGCCGGGACGCTGGCACCGCTGGCGCTGACAGCCTTCACCCGTACATGGATCTTGTCACCGGAGCTGAGGCCCTGGACCGTGTACCGGGTGGAAAGAAAAGGCTCCTGGTTTGCAGCTGTCCAGTCTGTACCTACAATGAACCCGGCAGAGCACTTCAGGCGTGCAATGGACAGACAGACACACACCCCCAGACAGCCCGATCAAGCCACAGGGGATGAAACCCAGAGGCAAAGGACTCCTTCCTTCCAAAGGCTGAATGATTTGGGGCACCAGCAGGGAAAGGTTTCTTATAGGGGAGGTTGTCCACACCACCTTGCCAAAGAGCGTGGGGTACGAAATGCTGGCAGGAGCTTTGAGCAGAAGGTAATTTGCAAGTAAGAAAAGGCATTAGGCCAGCAAACATGGTCCCTGATGACCTTCCAGGTGCACTTCTAGAAGCATTTAAGATCCTCTGACCACCCTGCCAGCCGGTCTGCTCCTCCTTCTGCCCCAGGATGACTTGTTTGTGCTCACCGTGCTCCCCAGCACTCTCTCCACATCAGGCAAGCTCTGCTCATCACCTGGACCAGCCAGCTAGACCTCTCCAACTCTTTCTGCTTGGAATTGGGCATCTCCAACTCACCCCACAGCCAAGATGTGGAAACCCTCTCACATCACCCAGCTAACACAGCCTTGCGATGTGCTGAGCCTCTTAGAAAGTTTCTCAGCTAGAAAACTGACTGCCCCAACCACCAAAGGACTGGGTGTCCCAGGCAAGCACCTACAGCAACCCACATCTGCCAAGGTTTGCTAAGCCACCATGTGCACCTTCAAACCAAGAAGGTTTTCCTCTCAAATGCCATCAGACCAGCAAAAACCCATCAGCTTCCCTTTCCCTTTACCACTGGCATTACTCAAATCCATCTTCACTCAAATTTCTCCACATTTTAGTCAACCGGGATCTTGCACCAGCCCAAACACAGTGGTAACTGAGTCCATGTGGTTATCCCAGAATGACTAGAGCTCTCCTGTCACCCAGCCAAGCCCAAAGCAAGCTAGGAGAGCATCCAAAACTGTGACCTT